GGCGTGGAAGGAGTCCTTCCACGGGCTCGGCGGCGTGGAAGGGATCCTTTCACGGGGTGGGGGGCGTGGAGAAGGGATCCTTTCACGAGGGTCGGGGGCGTGGAAGGAGTCCTTCCACGGGGTCTGGTGCGCGGAAGGGATGCTTCCACGGGCGGCTGGGGCGTGGAAAGAATCCTTCCACGGATGGTTCGGGCGCGGAATCAATCTTTCCACGGGATCCGGAAGCGGAAGGGATACTTTCACGGGCGGTTGGGCGTGCAAGGGGACCCTTCCACGGTGTATATGGTGTGTGAGCATAACGCTTTAATAAGTTCGGGTCGTGAACGGAATACTCATACATTGTGGTGTACGTGTTGATTTAATCTTTCCACGTAGTCTGGCGTGTCAATGGATGCGTCCTCACAGGGTCTGGAAGGTGCGAATGATTGTGGCAATCTATATGAGGATGATTTCGCGGTTTCGCATTGTGGCCGGGCGAATCAGATGCAGAGAAGTGTGGCAGACTACTGGCAATGTATAAGGCTTCGGTAAAAAAGTTCCCCCTTATTAGACTTAGGAGCTGAACTTGCACTGCGCGAGGAGAGTCAAGAACATTATGCAAACCATAAGTAAAGACAACACATGTTTTCTGTAATTAAGCAATCGAAGCTTGACAAGGCCGCGTTGGGGCGCCCTCCACATGGAGATCTCAAGGTGTTGCCGGCTGTCTTTCTTCGGAAGGTCTTCCTGAGCGTGCAGTATTGCAAGCCACGACTTAGAAGCCACATCCTGCAGCTTTGATGTCCAAAAGAAAAGTAGAATGCAGCTGGTGAGTCGTTGGGATGGACTCACCCGGATGTAGGTTGAGGCAGAAGACTTCACCTAAAGCCGCTAAGAGGGGCACAGCCGTGAAGTCGAGAGCAAAACCCCAGGCCTCTCGTGATGATTCCTGGACACCAGACAATCGTCTGCAAATGCTGAAGCTGCTGTTCGCATGGCCTTTGTATGTGTGGAAGGTTTTCTTCGACTTCAAGCGTCGTGTGCAACACACGTACGCCAATGATGGGGAGTACAAGAAAGCAGCCGCAGAGACTGCAGCCGCCAACAAGCGGCGGAAGTTGAATGGCATCGATGCAGATGCCTCAGACACAGACGACAGCGACTTGGGCCGCCGCATGCTGGAGACGATGGGTGAAATCAGCATGTCGAGTAGTTTCAGTGGGATAGACACGCCGTCTACGGCTTTCCTCAGCCTGGGCGCCGGCCTATGTGAATACTTGGGGCTGCCCATGGAGCACATACCTCGCCCGCGTAATGCGTTCGGGGTAGAGTGGCTGAGTGCCAGCCAAAACGAATTGTTGGAACATCCTCATGGGCCGGAGCATGTCTTCACGGACATTGCAGAGTTTTGGCAGCCGACGGTAGCAGCACGCTTGCCTGCCATCATGGAGTCTGGGCAAACTGACGCGATCTTGGCTCCTTTGATCAGGCAAGGAAAAGCCGTGAAGCGTGAGGCTTTTTGTGTGCGGCACCAGAAGCTTTGCCAGGCCAGGTTCTCTAGCAAGGCTGTTGAGGTTGTTGCAGTGCATCCAATTTAGTACTCCAACAGTTGTACCTCAAGCAGGGACACACACCTAGTCACCGATGCCTAGCTGTAACCCGGCACAATTACCACTCATACGGATGTTGTGATCGTAGCACTTGAAATTGTAGCTGGTTTCCCAGGTAGAGTTCTCCATGTATGTTCCTTGCTACAAGTAGATTGGCGACGGCAGTCTGCTGGATGAGTGGGTTTGTCTTGTTTTTGTTTTGGTAAGGTGTGATCTTCTGCTTCGATGATTCGATGGATCGACTGTAACAACTCGACCAGAAAGATGTGAAGATCAGGATGATGATGATGATGATGATTATGCTGATGCTGACCATGGCGATGATGATGTTGTGCTGTTGAGGAATGCTGTGGAAGTGAACACGCGTGAGTTGTGGTAGAATTCAGGAGCAGAACACAAGTTGTGAAATTTAGCACGAAACCGTAAGCTGCACGTGTGAAAGAAACTGTACAAGCTACTCATCAGCTACTCACCAGCTCATCAGCGTTGCTGGCAGGTGGAATCCTGTCGTCTACATGTGGCGGGGACGCCGTGTATAGATTACAGTCCACGTGGAAGCATGGACAAGTCCGACGGCGGCACTCACCAGTTTCTCATGGCATGGGCTGCTATGAGAGCGTGCCTCCAGGAGAGCGTAGTGGTCCAGGAAAATGTTGAGGGGTTCGACAGCTCGCAACTCCAGAAGCTTCTCGGGCATCTTTACCATCTGGACTGGACTGATGCGGCCTTGCTAAGTCCGGACCAGTATGGGTGGCCAGTGGCAAGAGTCCGGAAATGGTCGATACTCCGGCACAAGTATAAGACTTCTGCATGGGCAGGGCCGTGGAACATCTTTTGCCGGATCTTCCAATCTGAGATGTGGTTTGGGAAGTATACAGACTTTGCCTCAGCGGTCCCGGCGTGGGACTTGTTCTTCTCTGGCAGTTTGCAGGAGATGTACGATGAGCTGAAATGGGCGTCGCGCAGGCCCGAATCGAAGGCGCCAAACAGGCAATGCTGTTTTGCAAACTTTGAAGACTTCTGCAAGGCTTACGAGCAAGAGCCCGCAAAGGTTCAGAATGCATTTTATGCAGCCCTCACTGAAACAGAGCAGGCTTTTTTGCTGAGCTACCAGCAACAGATCCCTGGTCAAGCGTATTCGCTAAATCAAAATCCAGAAGTGACTGCCACCTGCAGCAACCAGAAGAATCTCCACACGCTGATCAAGAATACAACTTTGATTTGGTAGCTGGCTTTGTTGGCACCAGTTCTCTTGGGTTTGGGTGGGTAGCTTGCGAAAGCTGCGTTTCAGAGTTGATGCACATTTCGGGCGCAAACAAGGATGAAAGAGTGCTTAGGCCTAGGTTGGTTTATCTTAGGGTAGAGGTCTTGTTGCATGATGTTGTTGGATTTCTTTTCCTTGTAGATTTTCCGAATTGCCCTAAGAGAATCCCGCCATATTTCTGCCCGGTACTTGTCAGTTTTTGCTGGTCAGCCGGTCTTTCCCAAACTAAGGAGCGACGTGCACCATCGATGGCTCCTTGCCGGGGAAGCTATGTTGGCCCAAGCCATACCCGCTTGGAAAGACTTATCCCAGGGGATTCCAATGACAAGCTTTGCCACAGAGAACGACAAGTGTGCGCAGTCGTCTCGCTCTGCACGGATTGGCCAAGCAGGGAACGCGATGCATTGTATGATTTGCGGCATTGCGCTGCTTTATGCTGTAGCGGAAGTTCGACTGCAGGCGGTCAAGGGACTGCCAGTCGGCTTGCAGAATCTTTGTTCACGTTTGCGTGCTTCCTCGGCCGGCCCAAGGCACTCGAGCGCAAGCCAGCCATAGCAGACATGTTCAAGGTTTAAGTGCCCGGCAGAGAGTACTGCGCTGAGGGGCTGAGGGGTTAACAGATGCTGCTGCGCTCTTTTGCATCAGCCACAGCTTCAGCTTGATCCGCAGTTGGGTTGCTTGGAATGTCTGAGTCCACGCAGTCCATGCATCGGAGATTTTGCATTCGCGTGTGGGTTGCTTGGGGACTCTGAGTTGTTCAAGCATTTTGGCTTGAACAAACAGCGGGGCATTCAGCTTTCTTGCAGGGCGTTCTTGGCGTGTGCGCCTTGGCGTGCTTTGATACACAGCGGGTCAAGCTTGCATCGTGGTGTGGATGGCTTTCACAGCTTTCACATGAGCTGCAGTCTAAGATCCCACTTCAGAAAAATGTCCGAGTTGGATTGTAGATCCCATCAGCTGCAACACTGATAGGCTATGGCGCCTCAGGGTTCCACTGGTGCCACCCCTGCCGGCGGTGGCAAGGGCAAGGTGGATGCGAACGCGGCTTCTGAAGCACTCTTTGGACAACGTTCGCTGTCTGAAAGATTCGGGGACCTGAAGGGCAGGGAACTCCAAGAGAAGATATTCTCCATGTATCAGGCCAGGCTTGCTATGCTGTTTGTTTTGTTCGCGCGCCTTTGTTCTCCGTAGGCTTTGCGTGTTCACTTTAACATTGATTGCAGCGTGCGAGGTGCAGGAAGGGCTCATGCACCTTGAGTGGTATCAGTCCGACGGGTCCAAGAACATAGTGAGACACAGCTTGAACCAACGAAAGCAGTTGTCTGTCCGGAAGAAGTACATCAACTCAATCATGTCCTATGGCGTGGCTGATGGGTGTAGGGGAGAAGCTTGGCTTATCCAGCGACTGGGCTGAGTCTTAGAATAGTTAGCAGGCTGTTTCTGCGTGGATTTTAGAGCCAGCTCACCCATCCAGGGTCCATTCATGGGGGTAGGGGCGCGTAAAATCAAACCAAACCGAGGATTTGTGGGTTTGCTTTGGTTTTAAGGCTCTGGAACCTTGCTTAAAACCAAACCAAACCCACAAATCCTAGGTTTGGTTTGATTTTACGCGCCCCGGAGTGTGTGGTTCAGAGTGTGGAGTTCCTGCGTAGTCCGTTTCGTTCTTGCGTCGGCATGTGCATCTTCCGACTCTGCGTGTGCTAGTGCTCCGAGGCCAGCAAGTCCAGGACAGCCGTACCAGGCTATAACGTTCGGCACGCTGTGAGAGGCTAAGATCACATCTGGGGTAGCGCGCAGAGTGGGAATTGCTGTCTTGATTTGTCAGTGCTAATAACGGTGCCATGGATGCCGCGTGTTACCCTATGTTGTAAGGAGCGAGGCGTTTTACGACGCGGACAGGGATCATCCGAGCAACCCGCAAGTGGTAGCTACAAGGGCCAGTGGGTTGAGGGCCAGAGTCTTGGACAGTCGCACCCCGCAAGATGTGATCACGTGGGCGCCCAAGTGAATTCCAGAATTCCAGGTCTGGGGTTGATTGCTAGAAGTTTCTAGAACTAGGCCCTAGAAGACTTAAGGTATCTCAAAGACCTCAACAATCAGTTCCACGGTGGAGCTTCAGTCTCGTTCGTGGAGCTGGTGGCGGGCGTCTCCGAGGTCGATGAGGCTTGTGGCAGTGTCCGTGCCCTGCTTTGTTGTGAAGTTCTTGAGGCCTGACAAGACACAGATGTATTTTTGTTTATCGAATGCATGGTTCCTTGTCAACACATGAAGTCCCTGGCATATGGTTAAAACCGAAGCAAACAAAGGCCTTTTGAGATACTTCTTTTCGGCTTCGGTTTTAATCATGCGCCAGGGACTTCATGTGTCTGAAATCCATGAAAGTGACATTTGCTGGGTCATTGAGGCTCCGGTACATGTGACCCTTTCGCCAGACTTTGAATCGAGAAAGAAACTCAGCTGTCGTGTGTAGTGATTGCAGCGACGCATGCCCAAGATATCCCGAAGTTTGAAATGTTTCATGGCTTTGTGAAGTGGTGCGCTAGCAAGTTCTTGCGATGCCTTTCTTTGAGTAGAATGAGTATAGACTGAGTACATTAAATTGTTGTTCAGGCCTGGCGCGCGTACGCCGACCGGATGCAGATCACCTCCCGCAACACGAACTATCATGAACAGTTCAACACGTGGATTCGAGATTCAGAATTCAAGGACAGCTTTTGAATCATTCCGGTGTGGTGCTTGGGTTGAGAGCTTAAGTTGAGAGCAGCATGCTGTCGCGCGCAGGAGAAGTATACCTCTGCAACTTTCAAGTCAGCGCGCGCGCTCCGCAACAAACTGCAGGGCTGGGATGTGCTTGGCTCATGGGAAGACTTTTTCTCCGAACACACTGACTTTCTCAGCTCGGAGGTTCCGAAAAATGAGGTCGTGCTGTCGTGTATGAACTCGTTCGCGACCATGCTCGAGACCCGGCTGAGTGGCCAAGACCCTGCGCTTGTGGGAGTCACGATGCTGCAACTCGCAAAATTCTGTGTGGGGCACTCGGCTGTTGTTGTTGGAGATTGTTGGACTAGTGACTACTTGTCGCGCCCAGTACAATCTGTTGGTCGTGCTGTCTTGAAGTTTTGCAGTGTTGACATGTCAGAGGTGCCCTTGCTGCCCGTAACCGGCGTGACGGTACCTTTCCTCTTCAAAACGACGCCTCAGTCCACGGTGTTCCTCGATGCTCAAGCCAAGCTGTTGTGCCCAATAGCAGGCGCAGTATTTCTCCAGAAGCTGGTCGACAGCCACAACAAGCAGCCTGGTCAGTCTTCGAAGAAGCGTGCTCGAGCACCAGACTTGAGCGCCGCTGAGGCGCCAGCGAAGAAACCCAAGGCGAAAGGAAAGTCCAAAGCAAAGGCAAAAGCCAAAGCTCAGGCGCTGCCTCAACTTGAACCCGACACACTAGCTACGCTGGAAGCAGATGTGGTGTACGCCATCGGTGCTAGCGCCGCCGACGAAGCGGATCAGGCCGAGGGCGCGGCTATTCCAGCAGGAGCACGACAACGCCTTTGGCTGGATGATTTGCTTGCAGCCTTGACCAAGTGCAGGTCTTTCTGTAAGCGTTCTGGCAAGATCGAGGGTCAGGAAGCAATCGTGCTTGGATCGTGCGTGGCTCGTGGCTTGGAGTTCGCATTCACGGGGTCCATCAAGCTCAGGAAGGTACTGAAGGAATGGTCCAAGGCCCCGCTTTCTGGTTTAGGTTCTTCATCTAGAAGTCAATCCTAGCTGTTTCGCCAGTGATAGCCATTGCACCCCCTTATTAACTATATCTGTCATCGAATAGATTGTACACATGGACTGACTAAGTAGGCCGGTTAGTAAGCCGGACATTTACATGACTTCGTTCTTCTGCTGTGCTATCATTTCGTTGGCTGCTGTGGTAATGCTCTGTCAGGTTCGCCCTGCTATCCAGAACTGCTACGTGGCCGCGATGAGAGGACAGATGAAGCTTGGAAGCTTGCCTGGCTCAAGCGCCTCGGAAATCTTGGCCCATATGACAGGCGAGCTTGCGCAGGGAGACAGCGCAGGGCACGCAGGACATGCAGGTGCGGTGGACTTCAAGGCAATCCTGCAGGACAAAGAAGCCCTTCGTCAATGCAAGCAGTTTCTCCTGGCCAACAATTCGGTAGATGTTCGCAAACACCCTGCGTTCATTGCCTGGATGAGCAAAATCCGAAGTGTGGTTTGCCAATGCCCCGCGACAGCGGATGAGTGGGACCCCGCAAGCAGTTGCGACTTCCATGACTGCACTCACACCCTGCAAGACATTTGCTGGGGTTTAGCCAATGTGTTGGATCAGGAGGCTGTTGTGCCGAACGCTGCCCCTGCGATTGGGGCTGGGTGTCTCATGCTGGCCCTGTCACTGAATGATAAGGCTCAGACTGCAGTGATGAGCGGTGATGGGTCGCAGAGCCAGGCAGATGCAATTTCCGATTCGAAGGATTCGCAGGACAAGAATTCGAAGGACACTGTTCATCTTGAGTGAAGTTGAAATTGTCTAACGTCTGCTGTGTACTGCTGGTAGTTGCTGACTTTTCTTTGAGATCTGCAACCAATGCTGCCAGGACAACAAGGAAGATGGCCTCGCTTCGCAGATACTGCCTGAAGGCCATTTCTTGCTGCAGGAGACAGGCGAGGCAGTCATGAATGAGGCAATCCTCGGCACCCTTGTGACGGTGAAAGCAAAGTACCTCTTGAATGCCATTCATTCTTTGATGCTTGTGCCAGCCGGGCATCCGGATAGGGCGAAGAAGTTCGTGACAATGGAAGATTTGCACGCCTCTGAGGTTCGGGATCTCCACACTCTCTTGGGTAAGATGTGCAAGGATGACTTCAAGGAAAGCTTCGCCTACATCTTGGATGTGGAGTCTCGATTTTCCTTGAGGCGACCCGACAGCCCAGATGTCGACACGTGGAGCTCCATGTGGCATCAAGTGCTGAAGATGGGCGTCGTGCCCACCAAAAGGGTTGCTAGCAAGGAAGGCATGTCAACTCAGGATATCCTGAAACTTCTTCCCCCAGCTGAGACGGTCGTGACCTCGACCTTCCATTCTCCGGAGAAAGGCAAAGGCGGTGCCGAGCAGGGTGTGAAAGAGGAGATATCAGCTCCTACTGGGGGCGCCGATGTCGAAGCGCAGGTGGAGGCATCCACAACAACAGCCTATTTCAATGTCATCTACACGCTGTCCAGTGCGAGGAGTGGTCCAGCCAAGGAGAATGCAACGCACACGTTGGATGTGTTGGCCCTGCAAGCAGCGGTGCAGCAACAATTGCTGTTGTACGCAGGGTCTCTTGGTGATGATGTTGGGTGATGTAATTGCATGTGAGGTGATGTGAGTTTGCATTTGTAGCGGGCAGGCCTGTGCGATGCACCAGTAATCCTGAGGTCCCAGTCGTCCTCGAAACTCCTGCGGGCCATCTACACCGATTCCAAGAGCGCAGCCATCATTGATGCAGAGATGCTGACGCCGGAGATGAAGGGCACACGCTTGTTTGCATTCGGGAATGTGAGCACTGAGGAAGGACCCAAGTCCATGGAGGTGGGTGTGGCAGGGATGATGTAACATTATAAAGTAAGGCGACCAATCGATCAATTGCTGTTTGAAGTTGGCAGCTTGACTCAGCTTGACATGCACGCTGTATCTACTATCTACAGAAGACTCAGAAGACTGAAACTCAAACTGGGGAAGCCGCTCGCCAGGTTGCATCCGTGACGTTTGATGACGAGCTTCAAGTGAAGTACTGGTTGTCCGCGGAAGGCTTTCAGAAAGTGACGTCCCTGTGCCCTTGCGCTGTCTTCATGGTGAAGGCAGGACTAGATGAGAAGAAGGCCATGTTCGCCAGTGGATTCCTCTCGAAGACGCTTGAGTGCAGTGATGCGCAACCCAGCCGCATCTTGCAGCTAAGATTGCCATGCACCTGACTCCGGATGGGGCATCCTTCCAGTGTAGCTTGCATCATTGCATGCCCAATGCCTAGATATCTCACATGACTGTTATGTGTTGGTGTGTCTCCTGGAAGGCACGGCAAAAAGCGCAGCGTGCACATGCAGTTCCCTTTCATTGAGATGAGGACAGAGGCGTGCGTCCTGCAGCAACTTGAGTAGAGCAGATGTCGCTGGTGGAATGTGGATCTGTTGGAATGCCATTTATAGTGTCATTTGTAAACAACTTTTGACAGGCCTTGGAGATTCTCGTGCACCGCGAAACGCAGGTTGCTCAGGGAAGTCTCTTGTGTACCCGTACTTGGTTCCCGGGCGAGAAAGAGAAGCTCTCCAGCAGCAAGAAAGGTAACAAGATGACAGGCTTGCAGCTTGGGGGTCTGTGCTGGAAGGCTTGCAATCAAACCCCTGCCAAGACAGAAAGTTCTGCGGATGCGTCTGCTTCAGGGTCAGGGTATCTGCTGACTTCGGATGCCCAACCCAAAAATTGCAAGCACCTGCTGAAGTAGGCGTTGCTTGCATTTGATCCCAAGTCATCCTCCTTCGTGTGATCAAAGATCATGTTACTTGGAGATGACAATGCCATAATGCGTGGGTTTGGGCTTCGCATGACTGCGATCTCCGTGTATTTGTTGTTCTAAGTTTCTTCAGCTGTGTGAAGCTCGGTGCCACAAGGAGTCTAGCAAGAGTCTTGCTGTAGTCCTGCTACCGTTTCGGTCAAATGTTGGTGGGCTGAATCTTTACTCGTGATGATTCACTTGCTGTTTGCCTGTTACTTGGAATAATTCCTGAACCCATGCCAAATTTGTTTGTTCTCGTCCCCACATGGACGCTGAATCTGAGTGCGGTCATCTGACGATGACACAGTGTGGGCTTGGGGCCTCACCTCACCCTAAACCATAAGCCTTGAACCCTAAACAACCCTAAGCCTTGAACCCTAAACCCCATAAACCCTAGTGAATGGAATTCATTTCAGCAATTAGTTGTGCTGTAGTCTAGACTGTTAGTGCAATTGCGCTCGCATCATGGTTTGGTGTTTCTTCAGGTTTATAGTCCCCCTGAAGTCGATAGAATATGGGGTCTAATTTGGGATATATACAGTGTATGGTGTATGGAGATTTTATTCGATGTATCCAAAGCAATATTCATTTAAGACTTAAGACTTAAGACTCAAGCTAATTCCTCAACCCACACATAAAGTGAGAAAGACGAAGACGATGCTCGAGCATCCTTGCCACAAGTGCGCGAGACATAGAGGGGGAGTGAAAAGATTTTCTGTGCATGCGCTCAGTATGCATACCTGTCTTGCTGATTTCCTCAGCATCCATGTTACAAGCTTTGCCCACACATTGGCCATGAGTGCTGCAATCCGAGCTGAAACATGCCAGGCAATCACCTCGGCATGAGTGGGGCCCTGACTCGTGGTTCGCTTGACTCAGCAAAAATGAAGGTCTCTCGCGGCTTTCTGCCACATGCTCATCCCTCTGAGTGTACAAGCACCTTCATGAACATAAGGCATGAAGACTTGAGTATACAGCATAGGCAAGAAGTTCTCTAAGTCCCAATGGACAACAGCTCTACTTTCCTTGTGTGGGAAGCCAGCTGACCGTGAAATGAGTCAGCCCGAAACCCTTCCACACAACCACCCCCTTGCCCCAATGATGAGTGGACCTTCTAAGTTTAGGGCTTAGGGCTTAGGGCGGTATAGGCGCATGAGGCTCCACGTTTATTTGGGAGGGTCATCTTCAGGAATTCTTGCCATGGCGACTGTTATTGCTCCCATTTGCAGCAGAGTTGTGGGGAAACGGGGGACATCATGAGCGAAGAAACGTAACGCAGTCAACAGTCATGTTTTCCACAATTTTTGCTGAGGGTCATTGGGGTATGAGGTCAAGTACAGGGTTGCTGTTCAGGAACTTGAAATAAGCTGAGAATTTCTATTACTAGCTACATAGCCATGTCATCGCAACTTCAAGTATGTTTGTAAGAATAAACCAGACTAATCCCCTTCCCGTGATATCAAGGCCGCCCATCCCCATAATACTGAATATTCACCCTAAACCCTATCCCTTAGGGGGGGAGGGGATCAGAATGACGGGATGACGAGGACAGCCAGGCGAAGCCTCTTCGGGTTCCTAGAGGGTCCAAGGCATGGATCCCCAAAGTATGTGGAATAATTTGGATGACCCCCCACCCAGTAATAGTGACTATAAGGGATACTAGTACCTATATTGGGGTCCTCTTATATTCCTATTACCACTATTACAGGGTTGGGGGTCTAATGGCTTCTTCAACAAGTACATGTGCTTCTTGGAGCTTTGTATTGCCTGCCTTAGTACCCTTGTTAATTGAGAGAAAAGCAATAGAATGCACTGCTTAGGATTCGGGGTTTACTTTTTGTGGACTGGAAGAACATGAGAACGGGGAACAGTTGCATTATACAAAAGATCATATGTATCAAGTAGACCCCCAACACCTTACACCCTTCACCTAACCTGCTAAACCCTGCCCCCACCCCCAAAAAAAATCCATCAACACCACAAGACATGGAACATGCTCAATGCCCATGTTACGTTCCATTTGTTCGTTAACCACCAAACAAACGCTACTCATTTGATTTTCCATGATTGTGGTAAGTCTAAAGCCTCGGAACTCAAGGCCCTGATTCTGAGGTCAACCCATATGCCCCCAAAGACATCCCCAGAAGGGTTTAGGGCTATCGAGCACCCGCCTCAAATTCGTTGGGTGCATACAAAGCGAAGCTCAGTTATACCGGGGCCAGTGCGGAAACCCTTCACCCATACATCCCACGTTGATCATCGCGGGGGACAGGAGGCTGGGGCAGTGGGAGTGGGGAGAGGGGGGGGGGAGGGGGGGAACGGACGGGGGGGTTCCAAACGCCCTGGGGCTGGATTCGCTTTGGCGAATATTCCAATGCATACCTAATTTCCTATAGTTTTATATACAAGAAGATATAAAACGCCACTAGACATCCCTAAAGCCTGATAGGTTTATATGCTAAAATATGTATAATACCCCTAGACATCCCTAAACCTCCCTAAAGCCTAAGCCCTACATCCCAAAAGCTCCCCCTAAGCCCTTAAAACCCTATCGTCACCCTTAAGTAGATAGAATATGGCTTTGGGTATATTTTAATAAGATCCCCATATACTCCATATTCTTTCCCTAAACCCTAAACCCTAAACCCTGAACCCTAAACCTACTTTCGGGGGACCCTAAAGCTACGCACCTTCAACCTGAAGGTCAAGATGATTTTCATGAAGCACGGCATCCCTCCAATCAATAAGGCCCAAGTTTAGGGTTTAAGGTTTAGGGGTACTTTGGGGTTCATGGGACTTAGGGTATTTTTGGAGGTTCATGGGACGAAGTAACAGGTTTAGGGTTTAGGGCTGAGGGTTTTCGGTCTAGTAATGTTCGAGCCCGGGTACTTGGAGGTCCACGGAACTAGTACGTGGTTGAGGGTTGAGGGTTTAGTGAGGTTCGAGCGTCGAGTACATGAAGGTTCATGGGACTTAGTGGTTCAGGGCTCAGGGTTTAGTAAGGTTTGAGGGCACTGGAGGTTCTTGGGACTTAGTGAGTGGTTTAGGGTTAATGGTTTTAACTGGGTCCATAACCCTACTTATACTTGCTATAATCTAGATACGTCCAGTTTGGGAGGCTTATAAGTAAGGTTATAAGCCCAGTCATAAGTGGTTACTGAGTCCGACCAGTCTCGAACTACTGCGAATTACTAGATGTTCGGGGGGTCTGTTTTTTTTTTTTTTTTTTTACATAGGCGATATATACGTATGTATATATATATTGTATGTACATATAGTGCCCCCCTCATGTACCTACCTTTTTCTGCCTTGATTCTTAATTTCCTGGTATGTCGCCCCTGCAGACTGGGTTTAGGGTGTTTAGGCGTTTAGGGTTTAGGGTTTGGGAGTTTAAGGGTTTAGGGTTTGGGTTTAGGTTTTGGGGGGTGAAGGTTTTAGGGTTTTGGTGTTTACGGCAGATGTGTTTTGTTCATGCCTAAAATCAGCTCTCAAGGAACAGCTAGACCTTAAACCTTACACCTTTTGCGCCGGGTCCTGGTCAGCTCAAGCGCAAAACTTTAGGCTTTAGGGTTTTACGGTTTAGGGTTACGAGCTCCTTGATTGTTCTACTGCCAGGGCTGAGGTGCGCGCGATTGAGATTTTGACGTACTTTGAGGGGCCCGGGAGTTAGGTAACATACTATATGAGCCAAAGTCTACACCCCGTAAAGCGGGGTAATCTAGGGGACTTTACAGGGGAGTATCATGGGGGTTATTAAGGCGGATACTCGGAGTTTACGTTATAGCTGATATGGAACCCTGAGCCCTAAACCCTAGACTGCGTGGGAGTTTTTGAATACGGGGACGGGGGGGAGGGGGGGGGGTGGGCTTCGGGACCCTAAAGATATATGGGAGTTTAGGATGTAGGGTTTAGTGGTTTATGAGGGGGTTATGAGGCCTCCTATTAGCGAGTGTAAAAGGGATGGATGATTTTGAGAAACTCGCATATCCCCTGAATATGCCCAGTATATATAACTCTACTGCAGCTCCTACCACAGTTTGTGATCTCTGAAGGCCTTGATCAAAGACATTGTGGACCTTGTCGAGCACGAGGCTCTATTAGGGCTGAGGGTTTAAGGTTGAGCTCCATTCAGCTGTAATAGGCTGGAGGATTGCACTTCGAAAGTTTCTGATGCGATGGACAGACATCGAAACCAGCTTCTACATGGTTCTGGCCTGGTTCAGATGAAACACATGCGTTCTGATAGAGTAAGGCATCCCTGCATTCTCCTAACGGGGGCATCTTGTTTTATATCATCTTGTTTTATATCACTCACGCCAAAATCAACAACCGACATCTGAAAAAACAACTATACTCTCCTCCACCACGCTGGGCCAGCCACCGTAAGTTCTTGAGAATCCAACCAGTGATAGCAGTATCCCC